CATTCATCTCTAGAGAGCCAGAAATCTTGCTTGTTTGTAGGTGACCAAATAATTATTTTCCACCATAATTTGCAAATAAACTCTTTCCAAATCAGCCAATGTGATTGTCTGGATTTATTTTCTAATTTTGTCTCTCATAGTTGAGGTCTACCTATGATGCCAATTACAGGCCTCTCTCATCTTTTTAAGTGGGAGAACTTGCACAATTGGTGACTGACTAAATACTTTTTTGCCCCACTGTATTACTAATGATCCTTCTTTCTGTACAGAGCTCTGTGTTGATTTTCTACACAGCCGATCAGCAGGTCCCAGATAAGAATCATTAGCTGTGACTTCCTGACAGGCTCCCGATGTGTACAATCAAAGAGGGTGATGGCGGGAGGGGGGGGGGTCTCATACACACCCCTCCCCCCAAACCTGGAAGCAGACAGTGAAATACATGTACGCGGCTTTGTCTGTGTGGGCCAACAAAGCCAAAAAATGTTGGCTTACTGAAATGTAAGTCCATGTACAGTATAGTATGCATGCAATACTTGGTTGGGGCTCCTTTTACATGAATTACAGCATCAACGCAGCATGGCATGGAGGCGATCAGCCTGTGGCACTGCTGAGGTGTTATGGAAGCCCAGGGTGCTTTGATAGCAGCCTTCAGCTCATCTGCATTGTTGGGTCTGGTGTCTCTCATCTTCCTCTTGACAATACCCCACAGATTCTCTATGGGTTTAGGTGAGGCGAGTTTGCTGGCCAATTAAGCAGAGTGATACCATGATCATTATACCAGGTATTGGTACTTTTGGCAGTGTGGGCAGGTGCAAAGTCCTGCTGGAAAATTAAATCAGCATCTTTATAAAGCTGGTCAGCAGAGGGAAACATGAAGTGCTCTAGAATTTCCAGGTAGAGGGCTGAGCTGACTTTGGACTTGATAAAACACAGTGGACCAACGCCAGCAGATGACATGGCTCCCCAAATCATCAGTGACTGTGAAAACTTAACACTGGACCGCATAAAAACTTGGATTCTGTGCCTCTCCACTCTTCCTCCAGACTCTGAGGCCTTGGTTTTGAAATGAAATGCAAAATTTACTTTCATCCGAAAAGGGGACTTTGGACCACTGAGCAACAATCCAGTCCTTTTTCTCCTTAGCCCAGGTAAAACGCTTCCGATGTTGTCCCTGGTTCAGGAGTGGCTTGATACGAGGAATGCGACAGTTGTAGTCCATGTCCTGGATACATCTGTGTGTGGTAACTTTTGAAGCACTGAGACCAGCAGCAGTCCACTCCTTGTGCATCTCCCCCAAATTCTTGAATAACCTTTGCATCATAATCCTCTCAAGGCTGCGGTTATCCCTGCTGCTTGTGCACCATTTTCTGCCACACTTTTTCCTTACACTCAACTTTTCATTAATATGCTTTAATACAGCAGTCTGTGAACAGCCAGATCCTTTAGCAATGACCTTTTGTTACTGACCGTCTCCTGGACAACTATCTATACAGCAGTCTTCCCCATGATTGTGTAACCTTCTGAACCAGATTGAGACAATTTAACCCTTTCACTGCCACTGCTTCTAGCTGGCCTGCAATGCAGCCCCCTGCTCACCGATCCTTTCCTCTGATCCGTTGCGGCTTCACCGATCCCACAATTCTACCATCTCTCCCTTGGGGCTCAGCAATCTGTCCCCTCGGGCTCCACCGATCCACAAACCCCTGGCATCTGTCCCCTGCTGGCTGGCTCTCCCTGCTCCCTTTCCCTGCCGGCTGCATCTTCTGATGGGGCACATGGGGGAAGCTGTATACAGGATGGAGAGCGGGAGGGGGGGGGGCTGCCCCCTTCCGTTCCTTGAATGGATATAGTGAGCAATTAGTAGTGATTGCTCCGCTATACATTCATCACACTGAAGTATAGCAAACACGGTTTACTATACGGAAGATTTGTGAATACATAGGAGTCTCTATACAGACTCCTATGCATACATGTACAGTGCAGCTCAGGCTGCAGAGAAAGGGACTGTCTTCAGTCCCTTTCTCTGTTTCCAAAAAGAGACATCAGGGGTCTGCTTAGGCCTCTAATATCTCACCAAAGCCCCCCTACCAGCCCTCCCCCCCAAAAAAAAATAAAATTGTAAAAAAAAAATATATAAAATAAATCAAATAAAAAAAAAAAAACCAACATACTAAAGGCCTTGTACACGCAGGGCATCCTACAGCATATGCCCCTGCAAGGTCATGTTTACCTGCACAGGGAACTGCAAAGTGAAACAAAAAACAAGAAGCGCACCAACCTTGCGCATTACCTCAGTAACAGAGTTTATTAATAAAAGATAGGTACTCACAAACAGCGAATAAAATCAGGCATGTAGTCCTCAAAGGGACTTCAAAGATAAGAAGCCAGCGTGAATCCCATCATGGGGTAGACACTCAGTATATCTGACGCGTTTCGAAGGCTATGCCTTCTTTCTCAGAGCCTTCGAAACGCGTCAACTATACTGAGTGTCTACCCCCATGATGGGATTCGCGCTGGCTTCTTATCTTTGAAGTCCCTTTGAGGACTACATGCCTGATTTTATTCGCTGTTTGTGAGTACCTATCTTTTATTAATAAACTCTGTTACTGAGGTAACGCGCAAGGTTGGTGCGCTTCTTGTTTCACTTTGCAGTATCGATCGGGCTTCCCCAGCCCTGTTTTGGAGCTGCACAACCTTGAAATATACTGGTGGTCGCTTGCTCTGGTGTTGGTTCCATCTATTTGCCACCGGTCTGGGCCCTAGAGCGCAGGAGAAATCGCAGCTGGTCTATTACCTGCACAGGGATGCACAGGTGTTTCGTACATCCCTGTGCAGGCAGTCCCATTGATGTCATTTAGGATGTAGCAACTGCATGAACACAGCCATTGCTCCCAAATTTACATCTATGTGGGTCCTTGTGCTCACACCGTCTGCATTTGGGGTTGGGCACCCACACCTACACGTATGTCCATTTGTGAGCAGTGGCTGTGCCCATGCAGCCGCTGCATCCCAATTGGCATGAATTTTGTCATTCAATTGGCACAAAACATGTGAGCATTCTCATGAGGGTAAACACGGTCCTCCATGGGCATACACTTTAGTATGCCCCATGTGAACGAGGCCTTAGTTGCAATTCAGGAGGAATTTTGTATGTTATGTTGTGTTTGAGTGCACTAATGATGATTTTAGTGTATTTTTAGTGAAACCAGCGACTTGATGAACATTTGTGCAACTATTGTGGGGTCTAAAAAAATTAGTAGCTTTTTTTTTTTTATTCTACAGATCCTTTTCTTTCAGAAAAAAATATATTGTTGGGCGGTCTTTTACAAACTCCTAAAGCTGTAATGGAAAAAAGTAGAACCTCAGATTTTTAGAGTAAATTGAGCCTATTTACAATTCTGCGCACCTTAAGTTTTCATCATTTCACAAAAAGGTGCACTTCAAATTGTAGAAATATTTGTTATGTACTAACTCAATACAGTTTTTAAAAATGTATATCTAGTAGGAATTTTGCAGTAAATTTTGACATGTATTTATCCACTAATAATAATTTTAGTGCATTTTTAGTGAAAATAGCCATTTGATGAACATTTGCGCAACTATTATGGGGCCTAAAAAAATCAGTAGCACATTTTTTTTTTATCCTATAGGTCCTTTACTTGCAGAAAATATATGGTTTGGGAGGTGTTTTACAAACTCTGAAAACTGTAGAGAAACATTATAACCTCTGACTTTTAGAGTAACTTGTGTTTATTTACAGTTTTGCGCACCTTCAGTTTTCACCATTTCACAAAAAGGCACAATTCAAATTTGGCAAATATTTGTAATGTGCTAACTCAATACACTTTTAACTTTTATAACTAATAGAAATTAAGCAGGAATTCTGTAAATTTTGCCATGCATGTATACATTAATAAGGATTTTAGTGTATTTTTAGTGAAAATAGCCATTTGAGGGACATTTGTGCAATATCACAGGGCCTGAAAAATAAGTAACACGTTCCTTTTATTCTACTGGTTTTATGCTTTCAGAAAATGTATAGTTTGGGGGGGGGTCTTTCACAAACTCTGAAAGCTGTAAGGGAAAAATAAGAAAGCAATGGAAAAATTGGAAAAATGGTCCGGCCACCTGAGTTTAAAAGTGGAGAGCAGGGCCTGGCAGTGAAACGGTTAAAGGCTCAGGAAACCTTTATACACCCTAATCCAAATTATTATGCAAATTATATTTTTCTCATTTACCTAAATAATTGATGTAAATAACAGTCAGCATAATTCTCATGTTATCAACTATTAAGAGTACAATTCAAATTTTATTTAACAAACCTCCTAATGATAACAGTATTTATTTTAAACTTAAAAAACTTACAATGCACTGTTCCAAATTATTAGGCACAGTAAGTTTCAAAACACTTTATAGGTTGTAAAGAACTGAAAATTGTCATTTGTTGTGTTTGCAGCATATTTACTGAAATCAAAAGCTATTTCAATAAAACTTAACAACATTTTAACTTTTTAAACATTTTAACAGGTCATGTTACATTTTAACATAGGACCCCTTACTTGATAGCAGCTTCACAAGTCTTGCATCCATTGAACTTGTGAGTTTTTGGAAAGGTTCTGCTTGAATTTGTTTGCAAGATGTCAGAATAGCCTCCCAGTGCTGCTGTTTGGATATAAACTGCCTCCCAACCTCATAGATCTTTTGCTTGAGGATGCTCCAAAGGTTCTCAATAGGATTGAGGTCAGGGGAGGATGGAGGCCACACCATGACATTCTCTCCTTTTATCCCCATACCAGCCATTTATGCAGAGGTATTCTTTGCAGCATGAGATGGTGCATTGTCATGCATGAAGATGATTTTATTACGGAAAGCATAGTTCTTCCTTCTGTACCAGGGAAGAAAGTGGTCAGTCATAAACTCCACATACTTTACAGAGGTCAGCTTTACACCTTCAGGGACCCTAAAGGGGCCGACCCGCTCTTTTCCCATGATTCCAGCCCAAAACATGGCTCCACCTCTGCCTTGCTGATGTCACAGCCTTGTTGGAACAGGGTGGCCATCCACCAACCATCCACTATTCCATCCATCTGGACCATCCAGGGTTCCTCGGCACTCATCAGTGAACAGGACTGTTTGAAAATTAGTCTTCATGTATTTTTCTGCCTAATGCAGTCGTTTCTGCTTGTGAGCATTGGTTAATGGTGGCCGAATAGAAGGTTTATGCACAGTTGCAAGACTCTGAAGGACTCTACACCTTGATGTCCGTGGGACTCCAGAGGCACCAGCAGCTTCAAATATCTGTTTGCTGCTATGTAATGGTATTTTAGCAGCTGCTCTCTTGATCGGATACATGGCTCTGGCAGAAATCTTCCTCAATGTGCCTTTACCTGCACGAACCCATCTGAATCAGCCACAAATCGCTTACTAGTGCGATGATCATGCTTAAGTTTTCGTGAAATATCTAATGTTTTCATACCTCGTCCAAGGCATTGAACTATTTCACTCTTTTCGGCAGCAGAGAGATCCTTTTTCTTCCCCATATTGCTTGAAAATGGTGCTCTGCTTAATAATGTGGAACACCCTCTTTTAGTAGTTTTTCCTTAAATTGGGCGCACCTGCCAGTCTAATTATCACAGGTGTCTGAGATTGTTTTCAGTGATCAAAAGAGCCCTGAGACACAATGCCATCCATGAGTTAAACTGAAAAACAAAATATTTAATCTTTGTGACACCTAAATAGAATTTGCATAATAATTTGGAACAGGGTGTTGGTGTTTTGCGTTAATTAGCTGATTAGAGTGTGACACCAGGGCCCTGATTTACTAAGACTTGAGTCTACCAGCAAACTCTGAACATTCAGGCAGACTCAGTTAAATCAATCAAGACCTGTCAGTCTTCTGAGCAGCGTTTAGCAATCTCATTGACGAACGTCTACTTTGCTATTAGTAAATGTGGAATCCTGTCTGGCACATTTTTAGGTGCAATACCAGATATGTTCGCTAGATGGCGCACATGCGCGGGCTTTGTAGCATTGGCGTTTTTGTGTTAACATAAGAGAATACTTAGAATGTAACAAATAGTACACCTATATTAGAATTGTTTTTTTTGGTTTTTTTTGCTGTTTCTCCAAAATGATCAGACAACTAATGCATTTACTAATGAATGTCATATATTCTATTTTCAAATGTTAAACATTTTCACACTTATATCTCAAATAATTTGGATTGTCTAGTTCTAATTTCCCAATATAATTATATATCTTCATTCTCTTTAATCACGTAACTATTCTATGTTAAAGTCAAGTGCAGCGCTATAAATGCATGTGATCAATAATGAACGCATGTAAAAACCAAAAAATGCAAATAATTGCAATAATGATGTAAAATGGTAAATGGTGCTAAAATAAGTTCAAATAATCATTCCTGAATAATGGAATGTCCTTCGTGTGAGAGTACCAACTCAGAGAGTGCCTATGAATGGCACGTGTGGTTTCTCCGTGACGGACAGTAGTGCATGAACTCGTGAAAGATAAACCACCCTTGGGACTGGTCTACACTCACCAGAACAAAAGTATTAATGCGCATGGGTTATACACATCACACATCTGGGGGTACAGCGGTATGCTGGCAGCTATGGGTTAGTCATCCAGCTCCAGCCATCCATCAGGGTGGGTGCCCAAATGGTCCTGGGGAGGAATTAGCTCAGCCACAGGAGCCAGAAAGGTGCTTAATAGTGTAGTACACTGTCACAAGGGTGGATGACCTGTCACGATTTCATGCACTACTGTTCGTGGTTATATTTATCTTGTGTAATACCATTATAGTAGTCTATATAATTTGACCAGCGCTCGCTTTATCATTTTTTTAAACAATGTAACTATTCTACAGTGTAGCTCAAACTATGTCTCCCACAGTGGTTTAATGGTTAGAGCTCAGAATTTACAGCACTTGGGTCATGGGTTCTAATCCCAGTCATGGCTGCATTCCAGTTTGCATGCTTTCCCTGTATGGATGTGTTTCTGCCAACACTCAAAGACATGCTGTTAGGTTCATTGGACATGGCTGAGTTTCTGCCCTTAGATTATAAGCTCCTTGGCATTTATGAACATTAAAAAAATGGAGATCAATTTTCTGGGTTGTGTCAGTGCCAGGAATATTAATCAATTATGATTTTGCCTAATGACTAGAAAGTGGATGAATGTTACTGCGTCCTGTTCTTCTGCCAATTAGGAAATGTGCAAGTTTCATGCTGTGTATATTTCATTGTAACTTTTTTCTCTTTTAAAATCTGTCTCCTTATACAACTTGACCCCCCACCCCACCATCACCTGTCCCATATGCAAATCTATGGATCACAGCCCCACTCTTTTTAACTATTTACTGATCAAGTGTCTCATTTTCTAAGAGCTACAGCTCAGATCTCACATTATTATACGATTGCTGATTGTATATCACCACTAGTCTGATTGAATTCACAATTCCTGGTCAGTCCTGTTCCCTTACCTCTAATAATCATTGGGCCAGTTCACACTACATGTGTTTTCAGTTGCTTTTTCGGCATCACAAAACGCACAGAAAGAAGGTTATATGGTTGTCAATGTCATAGTTCACATCAGCGCTTGCATTTTCAGTGCATTGCAGGTGCTGTAAACAAAGTGGACCATGCTGCATTGTTTCTGCACAGAACTGTACTGAACACATTGAAACGTCCTTGAAATGTACTAAAACACACATGTCCCTAATTAAATTGAATAAAAAGAAAGTAGAAAAAACTAACTGGAAGGGATACAAAAATGCAATGTGTCCAAAACGCATCCAAAATGTACTGGAACACACTAAAAATGCATGCCAAAAGGGCATGCAAAAACGCATCAGGAAAACATCTAGACTGTTTCTATAGTGTGAACTGGCCCTTAGGACTTGTTCACACCATTGCTGGTGCAGAAACGCATGCAAGAACACACATTTTCCAGCACAGCAAAGAAATGCAATGCGCTTTGCAGATGTGCGCTTTAGGTGCAACAAAATAATATGCCTGCAGTATTTTTGCATATTCCCACACATTAGGCAGGACATTGAAATTAACGAGCTGAGGAAAAATAAAAGTAAAAAATGCCCCATTCACACAGGTCCTCTGGCCTGTACAGCATGAATGAGTGGGTTGTTTATGTGGCTAGAGCCACCTGTTACACTATGGGGACACAGCAGCTGTATGAACACAGGTTTTAATCTGACAAGTGTGGGGAAGTGGCCCAGAAATTCTCAAATCATCTAGATTTCACAGGAATATGGTTGGGATTATGTCCATTAATAATGTTTTTAGTGTATTTTTACCATAAATAAAATTTGGATATTTTCTCTGGCGGTGGGGGGCTGTCAGGTATGCTGTACGGGGCCCCATGATATCTAACAGTGGCCCTGGGTGTATGCTTGTGTCTGTGCCACCTGTATAGTTAGAAAGAACCTTGAACCTCTGCTATGTACCTCAATGGATCTAGGAATTAGACATGTTTTCAACTGAAAACAACAATTATTAGTAATGTTTCGCCAGCAAATGAGGATCAGCTCCTCGGTGGAGAACAGAGATCTCACCATGTCCAGATGTGGTTTGGAATTCCACAAAAGAACAATTCACAAAACTAAAAAATAGACTTGCAAATTACCACTAAACTCTCCTAACTACACTCCCATCCACTCACACTCCCCACTTCCACTTCCGGGTGTGTGCAAACATTCTTCCGCCAACATCATGACGTATTTCGGTATGACAGCTGCTCTAGCGCCTCTAACAGCCGTCTTGGCGTTTATTTGTGCACCATAGCAATCACGATTCATTGTGTATGTGACATATTGCAAATATATGTTTGGGCTCCACCTAGCCCATCTCGCGCTCACATGCGGCTGTATGTGACATTTGCAAATATATGTTTGCAGTTCTATTGTGGATTTTGGCATTAGTGAATATATGCTTGCAGCTATACTGTGTATATGACACTGGCAAATACACATTTGCCAGTAAATGCCCTAAAAGTCAACATAAATTGAGGCCCAATTTATTACTGTTAAGAGGATTGTAGAAAAAGAATAGCTAGCTGTACATTGAACACAACCTATTCATTGGTACATAACATGGTCTTGTGGTGCAATAGGGGGCTTTTGGTTTGTTATTTTTGGACATACTTGCACATGTGCGCTCTAACAAGGAAGATTTGGGCATATTATATAGCTAGCAATAATAAGTGTTAGGGGTGCTAGTACATTTCAGATACTTATATTAACGCTGTCAATTTACGCAGCGAGCTTTACATACATAGATGTGGTAAATTCACTTCAGTCCCTAACCCTCAAGAGGCATACTAGAAGGATCCCCCACAAAAAATACATAGTGCAACATGCTAATCACTTGATCAAATACACAGATTAATACTTATAAGCTCACAGGTTCAGCAAGTCTAACATTTACATTCATACATATACTAGAAGGCCAATTTTGACAGGATCCAATTAACCTACCAGCGTGTCTTTAGAGTGTAGGAGAAAAATCCAGAGTACCCAGAGGAAACACAGGGCACAGGGAGAACATGCAAAACTCCAGGCAGAGGTGCCATGGCTGGGATTCGAACCAATGACCCTAGTACTGCCAGGTGGAAGTGCTAACCATTTAGCCACTGTGCAACATTCAACTAGAACATGAAATAATCCCCCCCAAAAAAATACATAGTGCAAATGTTTATTGATCAAATACAAGATTATACTTATAATGAACTGTGCTTTCACAGGTTACAGCAGGAAACAAACAGTTAATATGAATCACTTGGGCTTATTCACAAACAAGCTGCAGATCGAACTATCAATATAAAAATACATACATGCCAAAATAAAAACACCCTCCCCAAATCCCCCACACATCACATTTCTCACTAAATACTTGGAAGAGCATGAAGACAACACAGTGTTTGTCTGAAAACTGCATTTCATTCTAAATAAGCCACAACTTGGAAGAGCAGAGCAAGGGACATGTGTTAGGATTACAATGCAAAGATACATAACCACACAATCAAATAAACACACAATCATTGTACAATAACACACAAACACACACCTTAGAAGGAAGAACATGCAAAACATTTACAGCCCACATCAAAACACAGCGTGAGTGTAGGCCTGGGGCAATTCACCACAATATCTCTTCCACCCCAAACCACCACAGACAAGGACTTGGAGAAATGTGCCTGTACAAGGCAAAAATCAGCCACAACTGCACCTCTTTATATAAGGTAGGCCACACCCGCCACTGTCATATTCATTTGGTCAGAGAAAAGTGTTTGCACCTGATTAATATTTCTTCCCACCTGCGTTAACCCTTTGGTGAATTACAGGCCCCCAAATCAGAGTCATAAGAAAAAGCGTTAAGTGAAGTCCTGTGCACATACAGGCCCCAGAAAATCAGAATCAGGGATGTAAAAGGGAAAGCCACATTGGCAATATGTACCTGTGCAGCAACAACAGAACATTGATAGGGATTAAAAGGAACCCCATTGG